GAGATCCATGCCGTGTTCTCTTATATTGAGTGGTGAAGAAGTCATCGAGGTGACCATTTGTCATTTGCTTTGTTTTGAGTCGACTGACAGTTATGTAATAAATCCAATACTGCTGGAACGTCCGTGGAAGCTTACCATTTACTTTCATTGTGAGTTGAGTTCCTATCTCCCTAGGCCTTTTGGATCATGGGTTTGAATATTCCCTCTCCAAGGAGAACCTCTTGTTTCGTTGTTATGGTTTCAGTCGACATGAGAATCGGCTCGAATTCGCCTATCTCGTGCATCCAGTCACATTCTGCTACACACTCTGGACCAAGTACATCAAAACATGTACCCAGATTGTCACATTTGCTGCTTTTCCAAGTGGCAGGATTTGGCGACTTTTCACAAGTGCAGAAAGGGAGTGTGTACATTAGAACAGTTGATCACTAGGTTCCTTCCACGCTCCCGGAAATATGAAATACTAGTGCGTAGCCTAATAGCCGCAAGTTCTCCGAGATTCATCGGAAAACGTGGACGCTAGTGTATCAGCTGGAAAAATAAATCGTCCAATTGACTGATACGAATGCAAAAGAACAAGTGTCAAAATAGCTCAGAAGAAATTTCAACTCGTTATTGTTACGGAAACTATGCAGTGGACTATCCGAAAAAGCCTTCTTGATAATTTGTATGAAACAGATTAGGTTGTGTCGATTACTGTGAGTCGAAGTCAACTTTGATAGATCTACTGACGGAAGGGAATGATATTTTGTGACGAGTTAATGTTTCACCTCTAGAGATCAGATAACCTTCACGAGTATGGAGACGAAACCGAGGGAAAATTGTATTTTACAGGCAGCATGAAGACAAATAATAATTTACGACCCGGGTTCAGGTCAGGTCTCAGAACGTGCGGCTGAGGCCAGGTACTATCCAGTTTCTTGCACTGATGAGCTGCAATCGTCTTCTCACAGTGCTTCGAAAGCTTGCTTTTCGCACAGAGTGTATGTATCAGTGGCTAAACATAACGGGTAAGCGAAACAGATTGACAGAGACATGGGCACTTGAACATCTGCGTTTGCTGTTTACCATAAAGAGATGGAGGGGTTAGCGTATTTGGTGTGATATAGCAGTGGAATACACATGTCGTGGCACGGTTACTATGTCGTAGAATCCGAATTTTTGGAGCTATCCACCTCGTTTTAATCTGAACCTGAATGAGACATCTTTTTGATTGTTGGTTAGGTGAGTAACTCGAAGAGGCAAGATCCGTAATTCTCCGGTTGAGTTAAAACCTGTCTGAAACAGATCACATGGATTTATGGAACAGTGTCTCGATGTTTTTGAGTAAAAGGACTTGATGTAGTGGTGGCCAAGTGGTTTGGTCACCAACTTGTGACCTCGGAGTCCCGGGTTCGAACCGCCCCACCGCCGCCGCCCGTCTTCCCAAGCTGCTTTTGTATGGCCTCGCCCGCTCTCTGAATGTTAACTGTACATCTGTATAACAAGTAATTAAAAAAGGAAGTAAAGACATTTCCAATTTATATGTATTGTAGTGCACCGTAATAAGCGTACTTTTGATTGCACTTTATTTGAATGCATACGTGAATTAAATTTTGTATTATTTTTGAATTTTAATCAACACCAACTTAGGGTATTGACCAATCGAACTCTATATGTGAATGCCTGAAGAGACATCAAAGACACATCTTTTCGTGTTTCCACTTTGTTCTTATGCAACAATAGGAAAATTTTGCGATGTAATTAAATAGTAAAATATTTCCACCTCATCAAACTTGCCGTGCCTTCGGCGGACACTGTATAAAGAATGACAATCACAGAAAGTGAATATAGAAATTTTGTAATTCTGTATTGTCGGTACCGCACTCTGTACGAATGCAGTGGAAGAACTCGTACGTTGTTCGACATTTGGTAAAATCCAGAGAAGCTTGTGAAGAGCAACGTTGCTGAACAGATATTATGTACAAGCTCTAGTGAACAGCGTTGAGAAATCCATAAAATCTAGCGTTAGGCTCTGACACAAACAGGCGCGCATCGAGGACAAAGGGCCTGCTGATCAGTTAACAGGGCCGAGGAAAAACAAACCCTCACCCCTGGTAGCCCAGTAGGCGCAAAATGGTGGCCGGCTTGGGCGTAGGCAAGACCACAGCACGAGACGTGGATGAGCAACAACGCGACCTTAAGGTCACCAGACGTGGTAAGATCCGATACTAATCGGTGATTGGCCATTTGATTTGGGTTAACCAATCACAATTGACCAGGTCAAGATAGGCATTCTCTTGCCACTCAGCGCTCTACCACGGATGGTAGTACACACACACGCACACACACAAGCTCGATAAAACGGCATGCAGACCAGGTGCTGGTCACGCCGTTTGAACTGGTGGATAGATAAACAGGCGGCCTGTGACTGCTTCGCTGTTCAGCCAGTCAAATCGCAAACAGCCAACCAGCCAGCAAGGTAGCGTATGCGCGTGTGTTTGTCTGTTTGTACATTGATGCTTTGCATTTAGTCTAGTGGCGAATCCGAGTTGCCCCATAACCATCGCGTGTGTTCGTGACGCACTGCGGCCGTCATCATCGTCTGTCCCTCGTGTCGACAAGTTTGGATACTTCGCCGGCCAGTTCACGTCGTTGCGAGTGCGCAGTGAGCAATACTGTGGTCTGCCATCGGAATTTCGCATTACCTTTGCAGAATTTCACCCACTCGGATATATGTTTGGTACACGTACGGATATAGCCAATTCGATCACCGAACGGATTTAATGCTGTTGTTCCAGTAATGCCCTCAGTGAGCATATCGAATTTCGAGAATGATGAATTGATCAGTGCTAGGCTTCTCTCGTTCATGAATAGTCATGAGTCCTCTTTGGCGCACTCTGAATCTTCTGGCAACGGAAGCAAATATACGGGCAATCCGAATTTCGGGGGTCCTTTGACGGAACTAGATGCACACCATGGATCTAATTTGCGATCTCCNCTCCGTTACATCGTAATGGATCGACACATTCGATGGCCAACCTTCAGGAACGTGTTGTGAACGGCTCACCAAATGAATGCAGTAACAATTCCTTACTTGCGTCCACCAGTTCGCCTGGGCTGATATCCGGTTCTTGCACGCCTCCACCATCTGTTCTTCCTTCCGCTAGTGTATCTGGGAATTTTCTTCCTGTACGGGGTCATTATGGTGGAGCACCCCCGTACTCTGCACTTACATCCCCTTGCATAGGCAGCAAAACTGCAGGCAATACCGGCATGAATCACATGCTCGGCTACAACGGTATTGTTAGCGGTCCAGGAGAATGTCACAGTCTTCAGAATTCTCCCTTTTACAACCATAATCCACTACAACGACAACTCGGTGGTATTTCATCTGCATCGGTTGGCGGTATGCTTCCCAGCGGTGTGAACCCCCTTGGCCTCGGTTCAAGAGGTGGCCTATACACTCCTGACAACGGTGCATTTCCCCTGAGCAATCTGCGTCCAGTGAATGCGTCATCTGTATGTCCGCAGCGAGAATTGTTCCCCGCTTCGCCAATGTCCAATCAAACCGGTGCTAACGGACAGAGCATATTTGGAGCAGGCCTTTTGATGCAAGACCGGTTGCGTTGGTACGAGCTGGCTCAGAAGCAAGGCTTCATTGTTGGTCCTGAGTTGGAGCGTGTTAAAGAGAATTCATGTCGTTCAACGAGCCAATCATATGGCCGTATTGCTGCGCATTTCCGGAACCGTTATGGAGAGACCGAAGCCAAAACGAAAGCAGCTTATCTTCAAATCGGTGTTCGTGTTCCAAGCAAAGATCACGTGTCAGAAATTGTTGGCAAAGGTGGTAAGTATTTTGCTTAATTCGTTCCTATGTTTTCTGTTGTGAATGCGATCTCAACCGTGTAAAATATTTTTCCATTGTGGTAATCACCGGTGGTCATTCTTGACCTCCTGACAAAATGTTGGAAATTGATTGTCGTAACTCGGGTGAACTGAATTCCATTTCGCCTGTTCGCCGAACGTGGCAATTTGTTTGCAAACGTTTCATCACCAGCCGAGGTGACATCAGTGCTTGTGAAGTGGCCACTTCACATTTGAACTCTGATTATACAGGTTTTCGAGTTTTAGTGTAACTCTGGTTCTCAGCTGATTCTATTTGTCCATTTGAGTAACCGATCTTAAGTGATGGTGCAAGGATACGAACATTGTCGAATGATTGTCTCGTGCTGTTGGCTGAATAATCTCGGTCAAGCCACCTGGGTTCGCAGTTTGAAAACTCATTCTCCGGTGCAGAAACGTAGTGATAAGTACAATTATTAGTCTGATTGCCGGAGACGGTCATTATAGAAATGGTGGCATGTAATATGCAGTTTTCGCAGTTCAAAAAAGTTCACAAGTTTCGTACTATTTGTAGGCTGTATTATTACCCCCAACTCCTATTGTGAACTTTGGTATGCGTTATGTGCACTTCAGCGAGAACCCTTCATAGATGGAAAATACGCACTGTTGTATTTTTTCAGGTACAATATCCGATTAGTGCAAACCGTGGACTTTTCTCTTTGCTATACTAATTATTGTGCCGTGATTTGTTTGACACAGTCTGAGGGATCTTTTGTGAGATGTGATCTGTTGATGCTTTGTGAGTTTGGAGGACATTGCATTATTCCACTGGATGATGTTTAAAGCGAAAAAATCTGGAAAGCTTGTCTTGTTTGGCGGTCTGTTTTCTTCCATTTCCTTACCCTTCAGTATCAGTGAGGTTTTCCTTTCCATCTGTTAACGATTCAATAAAGTGGCAGGCTGTGGTTACTTCATTGATTAAATCAATCGGCAGGATCACGAGAATACGCGCGAACTTTGAACTCGTCTCCTACAGGCAGTGCATCACATTACATCAGGCTACGTATTACACCACAGTGAAAAATCGGCAATCGGAGACGCTAAGCCCCACCCCGTTTTTTGTTTTTATTTTTTTTTATTACACACTTTCGTGTGATGAACAGCTGACGGGGAAAGCCCCATAGTCACGATGACCTGTTCAGCGATGAAAACCGGTAACTTAAGCCCCAGAACTTGGAGCGGTGAACCGCATAAGATCCCGGTGGGTTAGGTGTTGTATTGAACCGGATGTAATTATTGCGTGGGACGGTCCTGTATCAATTCCATTTTTGCATGTGATATAAAAAATAATATACAGATGAGATGAACCCATGTATGAAGCTAGCTTAAAGATGCAAAGACCCAGTCGATTGCGGAAGCGATCGATGCCTGTTAATTCTTTAGGAGAACGATTTCCTGAGACAAGTACGGTACAGGTTGTGCATAAATTTCTCCAAATCTCTTAGAACATAGTTGCCGGGATAGATGTATTTTCACGGAACTAATGAAGCAGAATCCTGAAAGAGGATATAAACACCATAGTTACCGTGGTTTCAGTCTCGTTCGGTAAGCGTGCACTGTTGTACCCCGGTTGTTGTCTCATGACTTATTATCTTGAATGGCTCAATAATAAGAAATAGATGATATGAAGCAGACATCAATTTCTTCACTTAGTTATCTCTTGAGTTCTGCTACAGCTGGCGTTAGGGGTCGGGATGCTAGGCTGTCGAGATCACCTGAATCATTTATGCAAACCATGTTCTGATCCACGTTATTGTCCCCTTGTGTAACTCTGTTTATACTTGAGTAAGGTACCAGCACAGTCTTTAATTGCTTGCCGTTTTTGCGAACCAAGGATATGCCCGAAATATGTATGACTTACCTATCTGCATACTCGCTCTACAAGGATCGATGTTTGAACCAGTGATAGTTGACCCTTCTCGGTCGCTATCAATACCGTTCATCACCTGCATATTTGAAACATGATTAAAATGGAGTGGCCAGCCATGTGATCATATGTATCAATGCCCTATCTCTTGATAGTATATATATGTATATATATATACATATTCCACACGCGTCTGACGCCAAACCAATCATAGTACAAAAATCATCATAAAAAGAAAAACGTTCCAAAATCTACACGTGGGCTGAATACTGTCAGGTTGCCCAGACCAAAGCAGGTGAATTTTCTTGAAGAATTCAAAACCGGAGCCTTCGACTAGCCAAAGCTTGACTCGCAAAGCAGCGGGGTGGTGTACGAAAGCCACAACCCATTGGGGTCGGTGTCCAGTTAATCGGATCCTGCACCCTTTGGACGGGGTCAAACGTTCAAGGTGCCCAATACACCTCGATGCCCAATCGAGCCCGTGACCACTACCACAACGAGGAAGTTGTGTGTGGTTCGTACGCCTCCCCAGGGTTTCGAACGATTTGCTTAGCCCACCGTAGACCGTTACGCTACCGAAAGTATGCAGATACAGTGACCGCAATGGGTTTACATACTTCCGCGGCATTTCTTTGCGAAGCAGCGACCCAATAAGAGCTTCACGGTCAACTGACGTCAAGCCAACGTGTGACAAAAGTCAACACTTTTGTGGTTATCGGAACTAAACTAATCCCGCGGTAGTTAGCACAGTCGCCGCGCGACCCCCTCTTGAAGGGTCGGGACGATCAACGATTCGCCCCAGGATAAAGGGATACGCTCCTCCGACCAAAAGCTGCGAAGTAAGCTAGTAATTGAATCGACGAGAGAATCACCGCCCGACTTATAAAGAATAAGGAGAAGCTCATTAAGTCCCGCAGTTTGTCCTTTCTTTAATGATATAATATAGCTTCGTACTTCAAAGTTTGTTGGGGGCTTACATGTTAACACTCATGGGGTTTCGGCCGCAATTGCTGGACTGACCGCATTAGCACCGAGGCAATTAAACTGTTCACTAAAATACTCTAACCAGCGATCAAGTCTTCATTGTGGATACTCTATCCACTTTTACCGCAAATGGTCTCACTGACCGTATGCGACGACCTCCGGTGCTGCGTATCAGGTGAAACAGTCTTTGACTATTTCCTGATGCGGAAGCTACCTCCATTTCACTGGCTGTTTTAGGCCCACAAATTTTCGCGATCGTTCTTATGGCTGTTTCCTGAGTTGAAGTTGCAGGCGCCACCAGTCTCTAGGCTGATCCTGGCAGATTGGGATCTTTGGCTTTTGATCCATCAGGACTATTGACACCTGAGATATCCAACGTCTAGTGTGATGAACAGCAGACAGGGAAAGCCCCATAATCACGAAGACCTGGTGCTCAGTGATGTAAACCAGAGACTTGGAGTGGCGAACCACATTAGGCCCCGTTAGATTAGGCGTCATATGGTATCAATTGGGAACATGGGTATTCAAATGTGACAATGAAAAACAAAAATCGATGCACTAGCTGATTATCATTTATCGGGTATTCCAAATCGTAAAACACAAGTCAGAATGTTAGCTCTGTGGTCTTAAAACTGCCACCGGCTTATTCCTTGGCAAGATGAATAAAAAAAATAATCAAAATCTTGCTAAAGAATTTCAATTTCACGAGTTTTTTGAATTTTCGTGTGATGAACAGCAGACGGGATAAAAACCATAATCACGAGGACCTGGAACTCGATAACCTAAGCCTAAGGCTTGGAGTGGTTAACCACATAAAGCCCCGATAGGTTAGGCGTGGTATTGAACCGACGATAAACGAAACCACCAATCAAGGTTTCTTCGATTAAATGAAAGATGACTTCTTTAAGCGATGCGGCCCAAAGCTTCTAGTCCCGCTTTAAAACCACATGGTTCGACTTCTAAATCCTTTAGTAAGCTACTGAAATCGATACTGCTATCACACGTTTCCATGTGAAGATCTTTTTCATTCGTCAAGTG